AGGTGGGGAGAAAAGTGCAACAATGAATGAATGGAATTCCGAAATCTCCATAGATGTTAATTGAAATTAAGAAGACAAAAAATAATAATAAAAAATTAAAAAAAATAATGTTAATCAGCAACGCACTCTGAGTCATATTTAAAAGTGGTTACAATTATTTGTTTAATGTTTAAAGAGACTTCTCTTTCCATAATCTACCCTTCATATTGGGTTAGTTAAAGCAAAGTTTAGCTTGTTTTATACACACACACACACACACACACACACACACACACACACACACACACAGAGAATATCTTTTTTATTTTCTCTTCATTGATGCTAAAGCAATTTTTCTTCAGGATTTAATTCAGTACTATGGATGTTTAAGGGAGTACTAGTGGTCTCATGGGTAAGAAGTTACCAAGATCAGGATAAAATGCTGAAAAGAACTAATTTCTTCAAGTGTAATAATCACAAAAAGGCTCTAGTTACCCACATTTGATGTTTATTTTGAGGAGATAAAAGGCAAATATCCTCACTTATATCAACGTCTCTTCAATTCTGGTCACTAGTGTTCTTACCATGCTGAAAACTTGACAGTCAGTGAATGCTTACCTGAGTTTTTGGTGTTAGATCCATAAAATTAAACATCTGGGCCAAACTGATGTTCTTTCGTTTAAGCGGCATGCCTTGGCCATATAACACCCCTGTTGTCTGTGAGTCTTCTTTAACAATTACTTTCTGACAACAATAAGTATTCAGAACAACAGGGTAACTTTCATTTGGAATTACAAGTTTTTGCCTGGGGGGGGGGGGAAATAAACACAAACATTTTATTTGGAATGCTTGTTCCCCTGCATCGTCTTTTTTTTTTTTTTTAAATTTTCTGCTAGTTTATTTACAAAATTCAAATACATATTTGAAAAATTCTTTCAATTTCCCTCACCCCCATCCATCAAATTTACAACCCAATGACTGTTGATGTATTATGTGCCATCTAGTCGCTTGCAACTCATAGCGACCCTATGTACAAGAGTCCTAAACCCTGCTCTATCCTGTGCCAACCTCATTGTCTCTGACACACTTACTCCCACTACGGCAATCACTTAATCGATCCATATCATCGAGGGTCTTCCTCTCCTGTACTGTCCCTCCACTCTCCCAAACATGATATCCCCTCTCCAAGGACTGGTCCCTCCTTGCAAGTCTTCTTAAATCAAGTGTGCATGAGGAAAAGTAACCTACCTGCCTTGGACTATGAAAGTCAAGCACCTGTGGATACTTTTATATTAACTGGCGTCATCAATAACCTACTTATCAAGAATTAGTCCTGTGTAGAAGATAGATGCATGGAAGAAATGCTCCCTTAAGGTCTGAGCTTGTTAGCCCTCAACTCCTCCAATGTAGGGGCAGCTCAGAGAAACAGAATGAACATCAACTATTATCGGTCTCAAAGAGGTACCCAGATATGACACAAATAAAGAGGAAAGAGAGTGTAGGAAGATAAGACAAAATTTTCTTGGCTCTGTCCAATATCTCACGTTGGAAAATTCCTTAATTTAATGCTCATTCCTCAAAACAGGCAGAGATGCTTTATACGAAAAGAAAAAGAAGATATTTCTGCTACCAAGAAGATGGAGTAGACATATTTCCCCCTATTATTCATGTTAAGGAAAATTAAAACCCCTGGGTATTAGATGTAGAATAAACAAAAAGAGATTCTGAAAGATAGAAAGAAGAGGGCATTCTGGTGAGGGATTTGGGGCTCAGAAGCAACATGGTGGTGACTTCTTTAATATTTTGTTTAATATACCACAATTCTGAAGCATAGTAATAAGGCAATCCTAAAACACCAACGGACATAGGAAATAAAATCCCAAAACAAGTAATGAAAATCTGGTTTATTCTATGAAAGGAACAGAAGAGAGCCAGACTAATGAGACATAATTCTTTTAAACAAACAGAAACTGCCCAAAACAAAAACTGGCTTACTCCAATCCCTTGCTTGCAAAAACTGAGGAGTTTAGACTGTCACCATCATCAAGCTAGAACGATAGACTCCAACACTTGCAGGGAAGTGGTCTCAAGGCAGGAGAACAAGGAGTCAGGTTTCTATCCTCAGAAGTTTGTGAAAAAGACTTCCTGCCCCACCCCCACCCCAGTGTTAGTGGAGATCGCAAAGAATTCTACCCACATTCAGTCTTAGTAATCAAGAAACGTCCCTGGGGTAGCACCAGAGAACTCTTAGTCAGGACGTTCACACAACTGCCTAGTGGAGATAGGCACAAACTCAACAGTTCTTTGTCAGAGCCAACTCTGGATCCTCCACTGGATTTTCAGAGGCGCTGAACTAGAGGAATGTCTATCTTTCTTCCAGAGAGCAGCTGGTGGAGCCAAACCACTTGCCTTTGCTCTCCTTTCCCTCACCACTGAGCCATCAGAGCTCCTTTACTGTGCACCACCGACATGGTGCATGCACACATGCAGACTGTGCGCCAACATGCAGACACCTTTACTCCTGTCTAACAGTATGAAGTACTTTCCCCTATGAGAGGATCCATCAGAGCTCTGGTGGTGTAGCCCATAGGGAGCTGTACTACCAATCCAATGGCTGTGACTCTCTGGTGGTTCAAACCCACCAGCAGCCCCTCAGGATAAAGATGGGAAATCACCATCTCATCTTGGAAAACTTGTTTGAAGTTTAGCTACGAGCCAATGGAAATAAATTAATTCCTCCACAGATATCAATGGAGGCATACAACAGAACTTCGATTTCTACTTCCTTCTGGCTCTAACAAGTAGTAGGTCTGTTTCCTTTGCAAAAAGATCATATAAGATCCTCTATAAGATTTAAATAAAATAAAAAAATAGTGTCTCACGGTCAAGTGACAAGAAGCCGCACTGCAGTCCTGAAAGCACGTGGTTCGAGGCCACCAGCTGCTCCATGGGAAAAAGATGGGCAATCTTCTCCCTTGTGACTAACTGCCTCTGAAAACCCACCTAAAGGTCAGCTAGGAACCTAAACGTTCTGACACTATGATATACAACAAAAACATACTATTTAAAATACCCAGGTTTAAATCTAATAATGAAATAAATTATAGTAAGAACCAGGAAAAATAATAACTTCAGTGTGAATAAAATAAAGGAAATCAAAAGATGTCAATGTCAAAATGGCACAGACACTGAAATGAAACAAGAAAAAAACTTAAAGCTGCCATTATAAAAATTCTTCAGAGAGTATATAAATGCACTTGAAATAAATTTAAAAATATGAAATCTCAGTAAAGTTTTTTATGAACACATACTACATTATAAAAATGGAAATTTTTTAATTGAAAATACAATATGCAACCAAACAGATTTGACTCAATAGATGAGTTCAACAGAAGAATGGAAAAGGGCGAACAAAAGAATCAGTGAACTTCCCAAGTAAGAATAGCAAAATTTAACAGAACAGCAAATATCTAATGCTAATGAGGTTGTGGAGAAACTGGAACCCTTACTTGCTCTTGTGGGAATGTAAAATAGTGCAACCACTATTGAAGGCTGTATGGCGCTTTCTCAAAAAAGTTGCAAATAGAAATACCATTTGACCCAGCAATTCCACTACTGGGAATTTACCCTGAAGAAACCATAACCATCACCCAAGCAGATATATGCACACCCATGTTTATTGAAGCTTTGTTCGTGATAGCAAAGAGCTGGAAACAACCCAAGTGCCCATCAACAAATAAATGGATAGAGAAGCTCTGGTATATTCTCATAATGGAATACTATGCAGCAATGAAAAACAAGGAACTAATGAAATATTATTCAAAATTAGTGACCCTGGAGGACATTAACCTGAGTGAAATATTTCAGTCACAGAAAGACAAATATTGCATAGGGCCACTGTTGTAAAACGGGATCAACATCAGGGTAGAGGAAAGACAGAAAAGGAGGGGAGGAATGATGTATATTGCATTGAAATGGATGAGGGAGAGAAATGTTTAAAAGGGACATATGAATGGGTATTCTTGTCATTACAGAAGTCCAGAAAGAAGGCTGCAGAGTGGAGTGGACTTGAGGGGAGGGACTGCTTAACAATGAAAGAGTTTTTCTTTTTCTTTTCAAGGAAAAGAATGAGTGGGGGGTAAGGGGGTGGGTAGGGAGAAAAGTGCAACAATGACTGGAAACCCTATGTGTCTGTAAGCTTTCATTAAAATGAATTTAAAAAGTCAGTGAACATCAAGATAAAAGAACACAAATTACCAAATCTGAAAAACAAAAAGAAAATAAGCTGTGTGTATGTGTGTGTGCGCGCGCGCGCGTGTGTGTGTACGCGCACGCGCTTGTGCAGAGATCTATCTAGGGAGCTGGGGCCTCTGGTAGTCCAGTAGGGAAGACGTTTCGCTGTCAAGATAACGGTTGTTGGATTGTTGTTGTTACGTGCCATCAAGTTGCTTGCAATTCATATCAACCAAATGTACAACAGCCCTAAATCCTACTCTATCCTGTGCCAACCTCACTGTCTCTGACACACCTACTCCCATTACTCTAATCACTGAATGGATCCATCTCATCAAGGGGTTTCCTCTCTCTTGCGCTATCCCTCCACCCTCCCAAACATGATGTCTCTGTCCAAGGACTGGTCTCCCCTTGCAACATGCCCAAAGTATATCAGACGAAGTTTCAGAATCCTTGCCTCCAAGGAGCAGCCTGGTTTAACCTTCTCCAGGATGAACCTGTTTGTTTTCCTAGCAGTCAGTCCATAGTATATTCAACACTCTTAACCACCACAGCTCAAAGGCAACGATTCTCTTTCTATCATCCCTAGTCACTGTTCAGCTCTCTGATGCATAGCATGCAATTGGGAAGACTATAGTCAGGATCAGAGGCACCTTAGTCTCCAGCTTGACACTGTTGCTCTTCAGTACTCTGGAGAGGTCCCTGATGCTGTCTTTCCCAATGCAATTAATCTTTTGATTTCCTGGCTGCTGGTACCAAGAGTGTTCATTGCGGAACCAAGCAAACTAAAACTGTTAACAATCTCAATCTCTTCACCATCCATAATGATGCTGCCAACTGGCCCAATGGTGAGAATCTTTGTTTTGTTGATGTTGAGCTTCAATCCATATTGAAGGCTGCAGTGCTTGTTCTTCTGCCACAAGCACTTCAGGTCCTCCTCAGTTTCAGCAAGCAGGGTTGCATCATCTGCGTTAATGCAGGTTATTGATAAATCTTCCTCCAATCCTGATGCCACATTCCTCCTTATATAGCCCAGCATCCCGGATGATCTGTTCTGCATACAGACTGAACAGGTATGGAGACAGAATACATCCTTGGCAGACCCCTTTCCTGATTTTGAACCATGCAGTGTCTCCTTGCTCTAGTCTGATGACTGCCTCTTAGTTCAGTCAAATATCTTGGGATTTCCTTTCTTCTCAGAGTCAACCACAGTTTGTTGTGATCCACACGGTCAAATGTCTTTGCATAGTCAATGAAACACAGATAGACACTCCTCTGGTACTCTCTGCTTTCTGCCAAGAACCATCTACCATTAGCTATAATACCCCTAGTCCAATGGCCTCTTCTAAACCCAGACTGCATATCTGGCAGGCTTTGGGTTTTTTTGTTTGATTTTTGGTTTTTTGGTGTGTTTTTTTGTGTGTCTGTGTGTGTTTTAAAACTTTATTGCATCAACAAAGTTGTAACAAATTCCAAGGTATCAAGGAGTAACCCAAAATTTAACATTCTCCAAAGAAATTACTAACTCACAAATGTACAGCCAGGTTTCAAATTTCTTTCATAAAATCAGAT